GCTAGCCGAGGAAACGCCATGGGGGATCGAGCGTGTGTACAACGAAGCGGTGCCGAACGCCTCCTTCTTCCCGTCGGCGGTGACGCATCCGCTGTGCATCATCGACTCCGGCTACCTGCTCGCACACCCTGACCTCCCCTCTGACGCCACCGCGGCGGACCCGCTCCAAGCTGACCGAGCCGGCACGACGTACTTCGGCGGCGACATCTGCAACCACGGCACGCATGCCCTCTCCGCCGCCCTCTCCGCCGCCATATCCCCTCCCCGCCGTCTCTCCGTCCGCCCCCTCTACCCCACCCTCCCTCCCTCCGTCCCACCAGGCACGCATGTCGCGGGCACCATCGCCGCAGTCGGTGGCAACGGGGAGGGAGTGGTCGGTGTCTATCCGGGCGCGCCTGACCTGAAGATAGTCAAGGTGTTTGGGGAGGTCGGCTTGCTCGACGACCCCAGCACGCCCGACGAGGATGAGGCGTGCGGCTGGACCTATGCCTCACAACTCGTCGATGCGGTTCAGCGATGTGTCGACAGCGGAGCCAAGATCGTCTCGAGTGAGCGTGCCTAGATCCCCTCCCCGTCTTTGACTCATCTAACACCCCCCCCCCCTCTTCCGCAGTGTCGCTCGGAGGTCCGGGTCGGTCGGACTTTGAGCGTGATGCCTTCCAGACATTCTTTGATGACGGCATCCTCAGCATCGCGGCCGCCGGCAACGGCGGAAGTAGCAGCTACAGTTACCCGGCGTCCTACTCCTCGGTCATGAGCGTCCCCGCCACCGACAGCAACGACAAGAAGGCGAGCTTCTCGCAGTACAACGACGAAGTCGACATCGCAGCGCCAGGCGTCGACGTCGTCTCGACTGTCGGTGCCACCCCTGTGCGAGAAGGCCGCAGCGCCGCCGCTCTCCCACCGTTCTCACGGGATCATTGTCTCCTACCTAGGCCCTCCGAGCGACACTGGGGTCGGCCCTCCGGGCTATGATTCGTACCGTGGGACCTCCATGGCCGCGCCGCACGTCTCTGGCCTGGCAATGGTGCTCTGGAACAAGTGAGCCCCCCCCCCTCCCCCCCCCCCCTCCCTCCCCCCCCTCCCTCCCCCCCCAATCAACACCACGCCCACCCACAAACACCAGCACCAACACCACCCAGAGGTCGGACCCAAACCGCCGCATCGGACACGCCTCGCGGCCACGCAGGTACCCGTCCTATACCAACGCCGACATCCGCACGGCGCTTGAGGAGGGCGCCGAGGATCTGGGCGAGACGGGCATCGACGACTACTTTGGCCATGGCCTCGTCAACTACCAGGGAGCCGAGATGAGGCTGTTCACGCCATCGCCGCCGCCGTCGCCCCCGCTCGCTCCACCAGCCCCCCCAATCGAGTTCCAGGCCACCGTGGGTGGCGGCAGCTTTGAGTCCGAGGTCTCGTGGACCCTGACGTGCAGCGGCGCGTTGATCGGCAGTGGAGGGGCGCCCTACTCCGGCACTCTTTCCGCGCCGCCCGGCGAGTGCACGCTCGACATGTACGACTCAGACGGCGACGGCTGGAACGGCAACCTGTGGGAGGGTGCGGGCTATACGTTCACGCTCGACTCCGGTTCCTACGGCAGCGCGACTTTCACCCTCACCGCCCTCCCTCCGTCCTCTCCGCCGTCACCGTCCCTGCCGCCGCTGCCGCCGCTGCCGGGCTACTGCTTCGCCACCTCATCCAAGGCCGTCGTTGTCCCCATGATTGTCGGCGGCGTGCCCGTCGACCCCGCGCGCAAGTACATGCCCGCCCCGCCCTCCCGCGCCAACGCCGCGCTCCGCTCGCCACCCGCCGCCGTCTGCTGACAGGTACACCTGGCTCGTCTCGCTCGACGGCCCGGGCTACTTTATCGGCAAACACTACTGCGGCGGCACGCTCATCGCGCCCGATTGGGTGCTCACCGCCGCGCACTGCACGCAAGACACCGTCGGCCGCGTGGCCGTCGGCATGCACGTCGTCGCCGACGTGAACACCGACCCGTGTGTCTCCTTGCACGAGGTGGCGGAGATCTTCAACCACGAGGACTACGGCTCTCCCAATTCAGAAAGCAACGACGTCTCGCTGCTCAAGCTCGCCACGCCTGTAACCGGCTATGCGCCCATCGACTTGCTCGACGGCCCGGGCATGGACACGCCCTTCCAGGAGCACCTCGCCATGCTCACCGTCGCCGGCTGGGGCACCATGTCCTCCGGCGGCGTGTCCTCGCCGGAGGCCATGGAGGTCGACGTGCCGGTGGTCAAGAATGAGGACTGCAACGTTGCCTACAGTGGCCAGATTGACGACACGATGATCTGCGCCGGCGACACCGCGAATGGCGGCGAGGACGCGTGCCAGGGCGACTCGGGTGGCCCCCTCTTCGGCATCGACGCCGACGGCAACTACGTGCTCACGGGCATCGTGAGCTGGGGCTCCGGCTGCGCCGACGCCAACTTCCCGGGCGTCTACGCGCGCGTCTCCCACTTTGATGAGTGGGTCTGCGCGAGGACGGACGGCGCGGTCTGTGGATTTTATCCTCGGTCGCCGCCGTCGCCGCCGGCCACGCCCCCGGCGCCGCCGCTGCCGCCGTCCCTGCCGCCGCCCTCCCTGCCGTCATGCCCGCTCGGCGACGTCTGCACCACCGGCCCGTGTTTGATCACCGACGGCGGCTCGTGCGCCACCTCGCCCGACTTCCCGAACGACTACCCAAACCTCGAGGGCTGCACCATCTACAACGTGCCGCCGGTCGGGCTGGACGTGATCGCCTTTGACGTGGAGGGGGACCCCCGCCCCTACTACGACTACGACGGCGACGGCGATTTCCGCAATGACTGCCCCTACGACAACCTCGTCGTCAACGGCGTGAAGTACTGCGGCACCTCGGGCCCGGCCGGTGTCGTGCCGTCGGATGGGACCATGACGTGGGTCTCTGACGAGTTTGTCACCGAGTCGGGCTGGAAGGCGCGCGCTCCTTTCTCTGCATCTGTGGCTCCCCGCACACTGCCCTCCTGAGCTCTCACGCTCACCCAGCCCCGGTGCCCAACCCCCTATGCCCCCCCCCCCCCCCTCTTACAGGTGTGCTGGGCTGCGCAGCCGCCTTCGCCGCCGGCCACGCCCCCGGCGCCGCCGTCGCCGCCGGCCACGCCGCCGCCGTCCTTGCCGGCATGCCCGCTCGGCGACGTCTGCGCCACCGGCCCGTGTTTGATCACCGACGGCGGCTCGTGCGCCACCTCGCCCGACTTCCCGAACGACTACCCGAACCTCGAGGGCTGCACCATCTACAACGTGCCGCCGGTCGGGCTGGACGTGATCGCCTTTGACGTGGAGGGGGACCCCTACCCCTACTACGACTACGACGGCGACGGCGATTTCCGCAATGACTGCCCCTTCGACCACCTCTTCGTCAACGGCGTGAAGTACTGCGGCACCTCGGGCCCGGCCGGTGTCGTGCCGTCGGATGGGACCATGACGTGGGTCTCTGACGAGTTTGTCACCGAGTCGGGCTGGAAGGCGCGCGCTCCCCCCTCTGCATAGCTCTTCGCATCTCTGGCTCCCCCCACACCGCGCTCCTCAACTCTCGCGCTCACTCAGCCCCCGTGCCCAGCCCCTATGGCCCTCCGCCTGTCCCAGGTGTGCTGGCCGCCGTCGGCCTTGCCATCTCCGCCGCCGCCGTCCGCGTCGCCCTCGCCGCCGCCTCCCTCGACCTCGCCATCTCCGCCGCCTCCATCCGCCTCGCCGTCGCCGCCACCTCCCTCCGCCTCGCCGTCGCCGCCGCCTCCCTCCGCCTCGCCGTCGCCGCCGCCTCCCTCCGCCTCGCCGTCGCCGCCGCCTCCGTCCGCCTCGCCGTCGCCGCCGCCTCCCTCCGCCTCTCCCTCCCCGCCGCCACCGTCCGCCTCTCCCTCCCCGCCACCTCCTTCCGCGTCGCCGTCGCCACCGCCTCCCTCCGCGTCGCCGTCCCCGCCGCCTCCGTCGCCCTCGCCGCCGCCTCCCTCTGCCTCGCCGTCGCCGCCGCCTCCCTCCGCCTCGCCGTCGCCGCCGCCTCCGTCCGCCTCGCCGTCGCCGCCGTCCTCCCCGCCGCAGCCACCGTCGCCGCCGCCTCCCTCCGCCTCGCCGTCGCCGCCGCCTCCATCCGCCTCGCCGTCGCCGCCGCCTCCGTCCGCTTCGCCGTCGCCGCCGCCCCCATCCGCCTCGCCGTCGCCGCCGCCTCCATCCGCCTCTCCCTCCCCGCCGCCTCCCTCCGCCTCGCCGTCGCCGCCGCCTCCCTCCGGCTCGCCCTCGCCGCCGCCTCCCTCCGCGTCGCCGTCGCCTCCCTCCGCATCGCCGTCGCCGCCGCCTCCCTCCGGCTCGCCGTCGCCGCCGCCTCCCACGCCGCCGCCGCCTTCCGCCTCGCCATTGCCGCCGCCGCCCACGCCGCCGCCACCTGCCCCTCCGCCGCCCTCGCCACCTTCTCCGCCACCGCCCTCTCCGCCGCCGCCGTCGCCGCCGTCGCCGCCGCCGGCGGCGCCGCCGCCGCCCTCCGGCTCGCCCTCGCAGCCGCCGCCCGCGCCGCCGCCGCCCTCGCAGCCACCCTTTCCACCCCTCCCCGAGGGCGTTGTCGTGGAGGAAGTGTCCGTGATCAAGTTCACCGTCGTTGTCACGATCTCCGCCGAAGTGAACGACATCGACGTTACTGAACTCGAGGCCTCCTTTCGCCCTGCGCAGCAGTGCCTCTTGCCAGAGTGCCAACTCACCGTGACGCTCCACCCCGTCGAGCGATCGGCAGCCCGTCGGGCACTCCAGACTGCGGGAACGGTTGCTTCGAGCACGGCCAGCGTGTTCAAGGATGGCAACACACTTTCCGCCGTGCGCAACGCGAACTATGTATTCGCGAGAAACTCAGCCACCCAAGCCGGCAATATCCTGAATCAGCCCGTCAGCGAGGTCGACCCCAACGTCAACGAACGCGAGGACACCGAGCCGCGCGCGGTCGCGCCGCCGCCGCCCTCCGCCCCGCCCACGTCGCCGCCGCCCTCGTTGCCCCCACTTGACCTGAACCCGCAGTCCATGGACCCGTCGTGCTTCCCGAGCTCTGCGATGGTGCAGCGTGCCGACGGCGAGACCGCCCCCCTCTCCTCGCTCTCCGCCGGCGACTCGATCCTCGTCGCTGCGGCCGACGGCACCCTCGCCTTCGATGCCGTGTGAGAGGGGGGGGTTCACTCGTTTCACCGTCGCTTGCTTCTACTAGGCACCCTCGGCTTCGACGTCGTCTCCTCCTTCTCGCTGGCCGACCCGTCCGCCAAGGCGGTTTTCCTCTCGCTCGCCACCGCGACGGCGACGGTCGCGCTCACCCCGACGCACAAGCTGCCCGCCGGCCCGGCAACGGCGCTCAAGCAGGCGTCCGAGGTTGCCGTTGGAGAGACGATCTGGCTCGCGTCGCCGGCCGCGGGCGCGCTCGTGCAGGCGCGCCTATACCCCCAGCACCACACACCCCTGCCTCTCCCGATGCGACCACCCCTCTTCCCCCGGCCAGGATCCCGTCCTCAAGATAACCACGGTCGTGGCCGACGGGCTGCACAGCCCGCTCACCAAGCACGGAGGCTGGCCAATCGTTGACGGCGTCGCGACCTCGTACAACAGCGCGGCCGTCGTCGCGCGCAACAAGTACCTCGTACCGCTCGTCGAGGCGGTCTGCCCCTCCCTCGGCCGCCTCGTCGTGGCGGCCGCGAACCCAAAGGCGATGCACTACATCGATGGCGAGGTGATCTCCCGCGCCCAAGTTTAGAGTGTCACTTAGCCCCACTCTCCCAAACCCACCACCCGCCGCCCACTTTCGCTTCGTCGCTCGACCAGGTGGTCGAGCCGCTCTCTTCGCTCGAGCTTGCGCACGCGGCCGTGGTCACGCTCACGGCCGCCAGTACCACGTTTGGCGCGCGCTCAAGCTCGCGCCATCGTTTGTCGTAGTTGGGGAGAGCTCACCTCAAGTGAGCGAGAGACGGAGCCCCCACGTTTACAAACCAAAGAAATTCGCGATCGACCCATGTGCCATGAGTTTCGCGCGACGGATCTTGTAAGGGACGAATGGACTCATTGCACTTGGAGTGAGCGACTGAGTTTTCTTTTTTTGAAAGAAGGCGTCGTACCTTGCAATGCCCGTCGTACCTGAGCACGTTGCAATGCCGCGCGGCGCGCGCCCCGCGTGCTCCAGGCCCGCCCCGAGGTACATCGAAAAGAAGCGGCAGGACAACGGGTACGCTGCTTCGGCCTTGTCGATGCAAAGCACTGTCGACTTGACCGACACGTGGTGCTGCGGCGCCACGCCCTTGCTATTCTCCATTGTCAACGGCCCCGCGGAAACCCTCGCAAAGCTCGACCGCGACTATCCGTCGCTGGCAAAAATGGCGGCCGACGGTGGCGCCTACGACCCGCCGCAGCTCAACCCGGCTCGGACCTTTGTCAGCTGCTGCCTCGGGCTGCCATGGCCCGATTCGTGCAATCTCGGCACGGTGAATTGGTTCTCGCACCGGTCGCCGCTATGCGCGCTGTGCCCCGCCGCCGTCTGTCTGGGCTACATGAAGTGCTGCTTTGGGTTCACCGAGCTGTCGCTGCTGGAGAGCGGAGACGAGGTCTTCATCGAGATGCTCCAGCGAGGCGTGGCACCGGAACAGTGCCCGGAGCGGCTAAAGGGCCTCTACTGGATGCAAGACAACCTCGCCAACGAGGTGCTAGTCACGTTCCAGGACGCCTACTGGCAGCCGGCGACAGCGACGGCGCCATTTCTCGGCACCAAGGACCTCGGCCTCAACTTCACGCGGGACCCGACCTGCTTTGGAGTGTGCAACGGCCCGCCCTTCTCCCCGTTCACGTGCCCGCCGGTTGGCTGCTGCCCCTGCCTCTGCCTCCCCTGCTGGGCCGTCGCCCCGTGCGGCTCCACCCGCAGTCTGCCCGGCTGCTGCCTGCGCCGCACGCCAATGACGTTGGTGTCGTCCCCGGACCAGCGGTGGATCGACCTTGGGCTAGGCAACTTCATCTTCATCCCGACTGCGGGTGAGACGCTCGTCGCGCCGGGCGGAGAGCCGGTCGCCTTTGACGCGGCGCAGGACCTCCTTCGCGTCTCGTTCTACCCCGAGCAGGGCCTGTCGAGCATCAACTACCAGTACCGCGTGCGGAGGGTGGCGCATCTCTCAGAGAGCGGGGCGCTGGTCAAGACGGAGGCGTGGGATGATTTGGTGGCGAAGGTTCGCGCGACGAATGAGACGCCCGGCTGCCTGGGCGACCGCTGCTACTGTAACCTGCCGCTCGAGCAGCGGCTGCAAAACTCCCTCCTCTACCAAAACGACAGGCAGTTCTTCCGGCTGCCACCGAGGCCGGCGTCCATGGCGCTGGGCCGCGGCTGATGCGGAGGAAGTACCCCGCCCCTCCACTGGCCCTGCCGATGCCGATGAACGGCTCCGGGCGGTGTGTCGAACCTGTGTGCTGTGCGAGAGAGTTGAAAGGGAGAGGGGGCTGTGTTCTCTAGGCCCCTAGGACGATGTACTTGGAGCACACTTGGAGTGCAGTCATCAGCCTCACTATCCAGGGCCGGGGAGCTAAGAACAAAGAAGCGCACCACCGGGCCGATGCGAATGCATTTTTTCTTTTTTCACTTGCATCGCAATGAGTGCCAGACAGCGTTTATGTGAGACAGCAATGAAGGCGCTGCTGCTTTTTGCCCTCACGCCCTCCCTGTCTCACGGGCTCTCGCTCGGCCTCGCGAGCGTGCGATCGGTGGCGCCTCGGTGCGCGGCGGTCGCCCTGGACGACGCGCCGGGCAGCAGCCTGGCTCGCGATGCGTGCGCCGCCGATAGCGAAGCGCTGCTGGATTCCTTGGATCGTTGGCTGCGCCGGCAGTCCATCCGGTCGGTGCTGCCGCCGAGCCAGGCGCGGCACCTGCTTCGCGACCTACGCGACGACCACCGCTTCTGGGCGCAGCAGCGCCGCCAGTTTGCGCGCGCCTGGAACCTGGTCGAGGCCGGCCTTCGGCAGGAGACGCGGCCGGTCGGCGAGCTGCTGGGCAACGAGACGGCGTCCAAGGTGCTTTCCTATTCGGAGGACATGGACGTCGATCCCGCCATCGTCAACGCCCTCATCCGCAGCGAGGTTGTCGAGGCCATGCTTGGACACGTCCTGTACGATGGTGCCGCTCCCCCCCCGCCGCCGCCGCCGCCGCAGCCTGCCCTCGCGCGCGCACCCCCTTCCCCCACAGCGCCGGCCGCCTGCGTCCGAGATGCCTCCCCTGCTGGTTGTCACCGATGTCCAGGCATCGGCCAGTTTCTGATCCAGTCCGACCCCATCGGCATGGCCCTCTCCAAGCTCCCGATCCTAGGGCCGATCCGCGCGCAGCTGGTCGACGCGGCGCGGCGCGAGGTGGACGCTTTGGTCGGCCCGCAGGTCGAGGGGTTCCTCGGCTCCTACTCCGCCGCCGCCGCCGAGTCTGCGGTGTCCTACCTGCTGGCCGAGGACAACAGCCCGAAGCTGCGCGCCGCGCGCCGCCAGCTCGCCTCGAAGCTGCTCAACCGGCCGCTCTGCAAGCTGGTAGCCCCCACGGCTAGAGAGATCACCCGAGATCACCCGAGATCGCAAGCTGGCGGCGCATGGCTAGAGAGACCACCCGAGATCGTGGACGTGCCGACGACGTGTCTGTGGACGTGTCTTTGCAGGTGAACGGGTCTGACCTCGAGGCAGCCATCGCACGGGACACGATCTGGGCGGCGGTGCGGCAGTTCAAAATGCCAAACGAGGGCGCGCTGCTCGACCAGCTGTACGGCGAGTTTGGAGACGAGCCCTTCTCGATCTTGCTACCGCGCGACGCGGCAGCCAAGGCGGCGGCGCCGCCCTCGGCCCCGCTCTTCGAGCGCGGCCGCGCCATCCTGCGCGATATCCTCGCTAGCTTCCTCGCGTCGGGCGAGTGGGAGGAGTGGAGACGAAACGGCCCGCTGTCCGAGCCGTTGCCGCCGCCGCGGACGGCGGTGCTGACGCCGCCGGCCGCCGCGGCCGCCGCCGCCGCCGCCGCCGCCGCCGCCGCCGATGCCTCCGCCGCCGCCGCCGCCGATGCCGATGCCGACACGGACGCCGGCGGCGCGCCCGATTTCGGGGCGATGAGCCGCGCCGATCTTGAGGCATACGCACGCGCCGCGCACGCCGCGGCCGGCCAGCCGCCTCCGCCCGCGCACGGGGCTGGCAGCCGGCACGGGGCAGGCGGTGCGGCGGGGTTGCATGCGGCCGGCGGCGGTGACGAGCCGCGGAGACGGCGCGTCGACTGCAGCGAGAAGCGGCTGGGCGAGTGGGACGGATGGGACTGAGCCGGTGTGGGCGGGCCCCATCGCGCGGTGGGTCGCTCGCGGAGCATGCCTCTCTCTCAGCCCGGTGGTGGCTGGCCTCCTGCGCAACTCCGTCCCTCCCTCCCTGTCATGCCGATGCCGCCGCCGGTGTGTGGCGGCGGTCTCGAGGGCTGGGACGGTCTGGCGGCGTCCGAGGTGCCGGGGGAGAGAGAGGAGGGCGGTGTGTGAGAGAGACGCATAATTACTCGTTTCTTTGTCGCCTGAGCAAAAATGATGAGAGGCTGAGCAAGCGAAATGGGTTAGAAAATATAAAGCCGTTTAAGAGACCGCCGGTCGGGAGTTGTGCGAATGTGCCATGCCCGATTTCGTTCTCCCCCATTTGTGTGCCAAAAAAGTGGTGTACTTTAGCACGCATCTCAACAGGAGCTGCGCAGCTCTCCTTTACAGTGATAGGAAACGTTCGGTCCGCACTCCTCAAAGCGCCCGCCGGTCGCACACCACTCCATGTCGAGCTCGCCAGCGGGGGTGGTGCACGCCCGGCGGAGCAGGTTTGCGAGCGCCTCTGCTCGGTCCAGGTCCTTGTTGACGTGCACCCCCTTTGATGCGACGGCCGCGGTCCTGTACGCTGCTAGCGTGCCATTCGCGAAGCCGTCGTCGAGGCCGCAAAAGCGGAGGACCCGCAGCAGAGTGCCCTCAAAGTCGGCCACCCAGTCCTGCAGGAGGTCGAGTGTGATTGCGCGCGGGCCGTGGTCCTGGACCGACGCCGCCATGTGATCCATCTGCCTGATGGTGCCCAGCGTGTTTCCTGCCAGCTGGCAACGCAGCGCCTCCGCGTCACACCTGGCGAGAGCGAGCTTGCCGTACAGACCGAGACTGGCATTCGTCGAGATAAAGTCGCAAAAGTCTCCTCGCTGGAACGGCTGGCGCGAGTAGAGCCAATCTTCGCACAGCCGTGCCCCACAGCGCGGCCTTGACCTCCCTATCCTCATGTGGTACAGGTACGCCGACACCACCATCGACACAGGGTCCCGCACGTCATGCACGAGGCACCGCACGGCGGGCATCTCTGCCGCCGGCCACTGGTATGCGTGCTCGTTCCACCCGACCGCGACACCGTCCGGCGAGTCCTCCAGAAAGCTTCGGAGGGCAGCCGGCTCCCACCAGTACCCTCTGCTCTTGACTCCATCGCCCAGGCCGGTGTTGAGCAGCCGCACTGTGCCTGGCCGCGCTTGCACCATTGCGCGCGCAAGCGCCGCGTTCAGCGCGGTGCCCGTCTTGTGGTGGGAGGCGAAGAGAATGAGCGCGGCTCGACTCGACCGCCCTACCTCGCCCCATGACGGTTCCGCGCTGCGGCCAGGCACAGAGGCACTCGACATCGCACAAACTTGCAAGCGAGCGTCCTTTCGATGATCTACCCGGTACTCAAAAAGAGTTTAGACTCAAAAAGAGATTGGAAGGACGTCGATTCCCCCCCCGACACGCCTCCCCCACAAGTCGAGATTGGAGATTGGAGATCGGATATGAAGATCGGAGAAGCAAAATATGACGTTGAAGATTGGAGATTGGAGATGGAGATCGGAGATCTGACTGGATCCGGCAAAATATGACGCTGGAGATTTGGAGATTGGAGATGGAGATCGGAGATGATTTTTTATTTTCATTTTTTATTTTTGGCCCGAAGAGCCTGCGGCGCCGGTTTTAACTTTACGGTGTGGGGGAACCATGTGTAGTGAGCTTTTTATTATCAAAAAAAGAAAAAGATGATGACAGCGGCGTCATCTCCAATCTTGCGTCGACACATCTCCGAGGGCGGCGCAGCCAAGCCCGAGTAGTGGTCTTCTTGAGGCGCGTCAGCGCCGAGTCCGTGAGGAGCGGCCCCAGCTTGCTGGGTGCGGCCCCGCCGCGGGCCGTAGCGAGAATCGCGCAGCGAGTCGGCCGGAGAGGTTGAAACCGGCGCCGCAGGCTCTTCGGGCCAAAAATAAAAAATAAAAAATAAAAAATCATCTCCGATCTCCATCTCCAGAGGGGTGGAGGGTGGAGGGGTGGAGGGGTGGTTGAGCCCTCTAGCTCTATCGATATAGCCCTACCCCTCCCGCCGTTTTAGGGCCTCCCCACCCGCTTATGCTGAGTGATGCATAATGCGGACGATACGTAAATGGCTAATGCGTAGCACATAGCGCCAGTGCGACATCGGCAGCGCTGCACTGTTTGCTGAGACATAAAGGCAAAAACATCGTACGTATTGCATAAGACACGCTATGGACTATGCATTCGCGCGACGTCTGACCCTGCCAATGCATATAGGCAGGACACACGGGTGCATATACAGGGCCGGTACGTATACATAGCAGTACTGATAACGTCTCGGGTGTCGAGGGGTGTCGAGGTGTCGATATGGGCACCTTGACACCGGCGAGCATGGTACCAGCCTAGATGGTGTCGAGGGGTGTCGAGGGTGTCGAGTTGGCATGGGGTGTCGAGCTCGAGGACGAGGTGTCGAGTTGGTGTCGAGGGCTCCGGCTCAGGTCAGAGGGCCCAGCGACTCGTCGGTTGGGTGGGTGTAAACGGGCATTGCCTGTGGTCTTCAACGCACAAAGGGTGTGAATAGAGCTCTCTTGATCCTTCTGAGCACGAAGACCACTCGAACTCTTCTGCAGACTCTAGTGTTTCCGGTTTTCATAACCTGTGAAATAGTTTTTGCGCCCGCCGCAGCCCGCCCTATTTCGCGCCAGGGCCACGAGAGCCCTGGAAGAGCCCAGCTGGCATGTTCTATCGCCCGGGTGTCGGGCTGTCTACATACAGACGTCTCGTCGCCGTGGCCGACGCATGGCTGGTCCGACGTGTGGAGGAGTTTGACCTCAGCCAGGCCGTCGGTGTCGGCGGGCTGACGGCGGCCGCCGGAATCGCGATTCGCTCTGCCAGCTGCCAGCAGCCTCGTGTCGCCGCTCTCGTTGGCGCAGCAGCAGCGATTGGCCTTTGCGCCGTCGCTCGGCGGCGTCACCGCCCATCCGACCCGCGCAGCTCCTGCAGCTCCTGCAGCTCCTGCTGTCAGTCTTCTGCTCTCACGCACCTCACTCGCCGCGCGCGGATTGTGCGCCGCGCCAAGCAGGACACGTGCTCATGCAAACAATGCGAGAACTTGGTTGCGCCGCTTAGTGGCGGCGCTGCTTTAGAGAGAGAGAGGAAGCGGCAGCGTGGGAAGCAAAGCAGATGGAGGCGGCGCGGCATGCCAAGGAGCTGCTGCTGGCGGAGGTTGAGCGGCTAAGTGCAGCAAGGGCCCAAGGGCAAGAAGGGCAAGAAGAAGAAGAAGAATCTTACGCGAAGAAGAAGAATGTTGGCGTGGGCGATACGGGCGCCGCTAGGCTCAACAAGGAGGTGCTGTGCAGTTAGAGAGCTCGTAGCGAGCTCGATTTTGATGAGAATTTGATGAGAAATATCTCAATTTTGAGCCAAAAACGCCAAAAAAAATCGGCGCCTGCGGCGGGCCAGCCTCCGGCGGCGCCTGCGGCGGGCCGCTGCCCAGACCCCGTTTACACCCGAGCTATGCCCCACGACCTGAGCCGGAGCCGAGGCGGGGTTTGGTGTCGAGGTGTCGAGGCCAGGGCTCAGTGCTGACTGTTGTGTTCTGCGCCCGTGTCCGGGTGTGGAGATGCGCGGGTCGCCCCCCCCTGCCCACCAATTTGTGTGTGTGGGGAGAAATTTACCTGTGCAGTCTTACCTGTTCATGCGATGGCACACAAGCGCGCGCCTGCCTGCCCCGAAGGCAGGCCTGGCGCGGTGCGCCCTGTGCGTCTCCGGCGGCCATCACAGGCGCGTGGCCGTGCTTTCGGTGGGCCCGCCATCATATGTCGCGCCATCGCACGCTCGCTCGCTGCGGAGGTCGACTCATCACAAGGTCGACTCACAAGGCTGCCGTCGAGACCGCGCCTTGTTCCACGCCGCCCGCCGCGGCGGCCAGGACCGCAGCGGGCGACTCGCCGGCGCGCCGCAGCGCCGCGCCGAGGTCCGCGCCGTACGAGTAGTCGTACCGGCTGGCGTGCGCCTCGAAGTCGCGCAGCACGCGCTCCACCAGCTCGCGCGAAACCACGGAGCGCCCCTCCTCGCGCGCGGCGCCGCCTGCCGTCGCGCGCGCCCGCTCGCCTCCTAGCTCGCCTCCCGTCGGCCTCGCCTCGCCGCCTGTCGTCGCGCCCGCCCGCGGCATGTCCTCAGCCGCCGGCTCCGCGGCCGCCACCTCGCGCAGGAGCCGCGCGTGGTCGGCAAAGTGGGACCGGCGCATCGACGCGCGAAGATCGAAGCCGCCCGCCGCCGCGCCGCCGCCCGCCGCCGCGCCGCCGCCTGCGGCGGCTGCGGCCGCGTTCCAGAGGTACTCGTCCAGGAGCGCCTCCTCGTGGCGGAAGTGCGCCTCATACGCGCGCCGCACCTCTGCAAGCGCCGCGGCACTGCGTGTGGCGGCGAGCTCGCGCAGCGCCGCCGTGCACGCCGCGTGCTCGTCGTCGAGAGCGGCAATTCCCACGCTCGGGACGCGTCCCGGGGCGAGACGCACCTGCGCTGCGGGCGATGCGACGGGATCGTCGACGTCTCCACCGCGGCCGCCGCCGCGCCGTTCCGACTGCGGCGTGGCCGCACCACACGTCTCCGCCGCCCTCGAGAGTTCCAATCCGTCCACCACGGCGAGGGGCGCGTCCGGCGGCGGCGGCGGCGGCAGCGACGGCCTCGACTTTGCGCCGTCGAGCAGCGCGTCCAGGAGCGACTCGACGTGATGGAACGCACGCTCCCTCACCTCCAGGTACGCCGCCGTCGCGCGGCTTGCGATGCGGCCGTCGCTGCCGTACACAATGAAACCACCGCAACCGAGCTGCCCCCAGGCGGGGTTGTCCTCTGTGTACGCGACGGTGCACGCTGACAGCTTGAGCTCCTTCACGAAAGTGGACGCGAGCTGAGGCCCAGCTAGGCTGACACACACAAAGGCCACGCGCCCAGAATACTTGCCGCTGGCCCACTTGTCCATCTGGGACGCACAGGGCCAGCACCCGCCTCATCCCGTGAAGAGATGCAGCACCAGCGGGCGGCCCGCGGCGAGCTCTTGCAGCCGGAGCGTCGTGCCGGCCGCGTCGCCCAATGGCGCGACGAGGCTGAGGCGGTCGACGGGAGGGCTCTCCATCGGGACGACGAAGGCAGACGATGATCCGAGCAGCGCTGCGAGCGCAGGGAGCACGGAAGGAAGCCGGCCGCGGAGCATGCTGCCGGTCTTCGGTCGTCGGCCAGCTCCCTCTCGGCGGTGGCCGCTCCAGGTGTTTCCGACTTTTTTTGAGCTTAGCCTTCGATGTTATAAAACAAAGCAAGGCGGGACATGGCATATCACTCTCGGCCCCACAGACATCCCGCACACCCGCCGCCCCCGCGCGCGCCCCACCTCGGCCGGGAGAGAGGGGAGTGACAGTTTGGGATGAAAGCCCGAGTATGTTGAGTCCTGGCTCAACAACGCAGGGTTCAAGAGGGGGTGGTCCGGCTCACAAGTCCGGCTCACGCGCCTCGAGCTGACCATCTACCGCACTGAGCACTTCCGCCCCCTCGCTCCCAGCCCATCCACCTCGCCTCGGGCCGCGCCGCGCAATCTCGGGCGATCTCGCGCCATCTCGGGGCCGCGCCGCGCGATCTCGGGCGATCTCGCGCTATCTCGGAGCTCCACGCCACGCCGCCCCCCCCCCCATCCCCCTCACCTCACCCACCGCCGCGCCGCGCTATCTCGGGCGATCTCGGAGCGTCGCTCGCGCGGCGTCACACCTGCTCAAAAAAAGGAAGGGCCTGGTTGGAGCCACGGGGCTCACGAGGACGTGCTCGCTCGGTTCTCGCCGCCTCGCCCTGCGCCACTTGGGCCGGTGAGGCGGCGCCCCACTTTTTTTTCCTTTTGGAGCGCCTTCGTTGTTAATAGTACAAACCCAATGGTCCCTTGCTGAATCCGTGTTGGATGATCGATGAACGAATCCAACGAGCAACGTTTGCAACGAAGCCCCCGCGTGCCGGCTGCCGGTGCCGCCCCACTCGCCCCTCGCCGCCGTGCGACGCGGGGCACGACGGGGCGTGAGCCCTGAATGAACGTCGTCACGGTTCACCCTTTGAAGAGTGAGAGTGGAGATGTGGAGAGTTGGTGCGTGCGCGGTGCGGGTGCGCTGCGCCCGTCTGTCTGTGTCTGCTGTCTCAGCAGCCGCGTGCCCGCCCCCAAGCACGAGAGCGCGGCGATATGAACATGTGGTCCAAAGGCGCGCGCCCCCAAGCACGGTGTTCGCCGGGTCGCTCCATCGGTTCGTCGTCGTCCACCAGCCCCCGGGGCGCTGCCCACCAGCACCGAGGGCTGTGAGCGGGGAACATCACGAGGAGAACACACTGAACCACCAGCCCGACGCTCACTACAAGTGACAACGGCCGATCGAAGGACCTGCCGCGAGGTCGCCCCACCGCGCCGCAACCGGAGGTGCCCTGCGCCAACCGCAGCCGTCGCTCTTCACCGTCACTTGATTTTGCTGTACGCGTAGCAGCCGCCGATACAGACCAGCGCCCCCAAGATGGCGATGGGCGAGTGCGTGTCGCGAAGGAAGACACGCGATGCCCCACGCAATGACGCCAATCTTGTTGAAGCAGCCCAGCACCATGAAGGACGTTGCGGTGACGAGGCTCTGCAACCACAGCCCGGTGTGTAGGATATGAGGGCGCCCGCGCGGCGCAGCTTGCCGCGACTGGCACAAAGACGCTGAACTTGCGCATCCGGCGCGCGAGCAGAGTGATCTGCCTGCCCTCGCGGAAGAAGGCCATGAGCACCAGCGTGAAACACGCGCCGATGCCATATTGAGCAGCATGAGGCCAGGCTTGCTCACCGAGACGCCGCGGACGGCGAGCAGGTGGCGGCGCTGCAGCATGCGCTCCGCGCACGCGAAGGCGAGGTTGAGGAGCAGCAGGAAGAGCCCGATCGGCGAGAAGCTCAGGTCGGCTGACTCGTACATCAGCACGCCGATTGCGATCGCCGCCGTGCTGCCAGCACTCCACGCATCGCACTTGAGGTTGTCCGGCTGGTGCAAGAGCGACTCGATGGCCAGCGTGACGATGGGACCAGGTTGTGCACCACCACGAAGGTGCCAATAGTTACGTAGCGAAGCGCGAGTGGATGGAGGTGGCCATCATCGCCGCGAAGGGAATTTTTAGCTCGGATTGTATCCGGATACCTTGAGTTATGCCGGTACGAGAGCGCCCCCGCGCCTGCCCCGTCGGCGTCGCAGCGAGTCAAGTCAAGTCAAGCCAATACGAATGAACGAAAATCACAAAAATCATTTCTGCGCCACAGGCGTCAACGCTACTCACATTCCACATCGTCCACGTCTCACGACGAGTTCAGCTCTGTACACTACATATGTATACCATGCACATTCACGTGGCCACGGTTCCAATTTCCATTCTCCATTCACACGTATCCGTAAACGTAGAACTTGCACACCGTCAGCCCCGCCGCAGACGGCCGGTTGAGGTAGATGTAGCGCCCCAACGCGTTGATCTCCACCTCCAACATCACGTTCGACGACACGCTCACGTCCGACTTCACCAGCGCGTTGCCCGTGTACGTCTCCGCCGTCGAGCCGAGATAGATGTCGACGTCCGTCAGCCGTTCCGCGCAGCAGTCGTTGCGGTTCTGCAGCCGCACGTAGCGCACATACACCTCGCTCCCGAGGTCGACGCCCCACGTGTGGCTTGTGTATTGGCCGCACTCGGCCCACGGCCGTCCCGTCGTGCTGTCGGCATATGACAGGTCGCTCACGGGCGCCTGCTTGTTGTAGACGCTCGAGTCCTGGTACGTGGTGGCCGTGCGAAGGTCGAGCAGCTGCGCTGCTGGTGGCGGCGACGGAGGCGCGGGCGGTGGCGGCGGCGAGGGCGGCGGCGGCGGCGGCGATGGTGGCGACGGCGGCGGTGGAGGCGGTGATGGTGACGGCGGCGGCGCGGGCGAAGCGAAGACGTAGAACTTGCACACCGTCAGCCCCGCCGCAGACGGCCGGTTGAGGTAGATGTAGCGCCCCAACGCGTTGATCTCCACCTCCAACATCACGTTCGACGACACGCTCACGTCCGACTTCACCAGCGCGTTGCCCGTGTACGTCTCCGCCGTCGAGCCGAGATAGATGTCGACGTCCGTCAGCCGCTCCGCGCAGCAGTCGTTGCGGTTCTGCAGCCGCACGTAGCGCACATACACCTCGCTCCCGAGGTCGACGCCCCACGTGTGGCTTGTGTATTGGCCGCACTCGGCCCACGGCCGTCCCGTCGTGCTGTCGGCATATGACAGGTCGCTCACGGGCGCCTGCTTGTTGTAGACGCTCGAGTCCTGGTACGTGGTGGCCGTGCGAAGGTCGAGCAGCTGCGCTGCTGGTGGCGGCGACGGAGGCGCGGGCGGTGGCGGCGGCGATGGCGATGCGGAGGGAGGCGGTGGTGACGGTGAGGCGGAGGGAGGCGGCGGAGATGGTGATGCGGAGGGAGGCGGCGGCGAGGGCGAGGCGGACGGCGGCGGGGGCGAGGGCGATGCCGAGGGAGGCGGCGGCGACGGCGACACGGATGGCGGCGGGGGTGACGGCGATGCTGAGGGCGGCGGGGGCGACGGCGATGCTGAGGGCGGCGGCGGCGAGGGTGAGGCGGACGGCGGCGGCGGCGACGGCGAGGTGGAGGGAGGCGGCGGCGAGGGCGAGGCGGAGGCGGGCGGTGGCGACGGCGAGGTGGAGGGAGGCGGCGGCGAGGGCGATGCTGAGGGAGGCGGTGGTGACGGTGAGGCGGAGGGAGGCGGCGGAGATGGTGAGGCGGAGGGAGGCGGCGGCGAGGGCGAGGCGGACGGCGGCGGGGGCGATGCCGAGGGAGGCGGCGGCGACGGCGACACGGATGGCGGCGGGGGTGACGGCGATGCTGAGGGCGGCGGGGGCGACGGCGATGCTGCGGGCGGCGGCGGCGAGGGTGGGGCGGACGGCGGCGGCGGCGACGGCGAGGTGGAGGGAGGCGGCGGCGACGGCGAGGCGGAGGCGGGCGGTGGCGACGGCGAGGTGGAGGGAGGCGGCGGCGAGGGCGATGCCGAGGGAGGCGGTGGCGAGGGCGATGCTGAGGGAGGCGGTGGCGACGGCGACACGGATGGCGGCGGGGGTGACGGCGATGCTGAGGGCGGCGGGGGCGAGGGTGAGGCGGACGGCGGCGGCGGCGACGGCGAGATGGAGGGAGGTGGCGGCGACGGCGAGGCGGAGGGAGGCGGCGGCGAGGGCGATGCTGAGGGAGGCGGTGGCGGCGACGGCGAGGTGGAGGGAGGCGGCGGCGACGGCGAGGCGGAGGGAGGCGGCGGCGACGGCGAGGTGGAGGGAGGCGGTGGCGAGGGCGATGCTGAGGGAGGCGGTGGTGACGGTGAGGCGGAGGGAGGCGGCGGAGATGGTGAGGCGGAGGGAGGCGGCGGCGAGGGCGAGGCGGACGGCGGCGGGGGCGATGCCGAGGGAGGCGGCGGCGACGGCGACACGGATGGCGGCGGGGGTGACGGCGATGCTGAGGGCGGCGGCGGCGAGGGTGGGGCGGACGGCGGCGGCGGCGACGGCGAGACGGACGGCGGCGGCGCGGGCGAAGCGTAAACGTAGAACTTGCACACCGTCAGCCCCGCCGCAGACGGCCGGTTGAGGTAGATGTAACGCCCCAACGCGTTGATCTCCACCTCCAACATCACGTTCGACGACACGCTCACGTCCGACTTCACCAGCGCGTTGCCCGTGTACGTCTCCGCCGTCGAGCCGAGATAGATGTCGACGTCCGTCAGCCGCTCCGCGCAGCAGTCGTTGCGGTTCTGCAGCCGCACGTAGCGCACATACACCTCGCTCCCGAGGTCGACGCCCCACGTGTGGCTTGTGTATTGGCCGCACTCGGCCCACGGCCGTCCCGTCGTGCTGTCGGCATATGACAGGTCGCTCACGGGCGCCTGCTTGTTGTAGACGCTCGAGTCCTGGTACGTGGTGGCCGTGCGAAGGTCGAGCAGCTGCGCTGCTGGTGGCGGCGACGGAGGCGCGGGCGGTGGCGGCGGCGATGGCGATGCGGAGGGAGGCGGCGGCAACGGCGAGGCGGAAGGAGGCGGCGGCGACGGTGATGCGGAGGGAGGCGGCGGCATTGCGCCAGAGACGTAGTCTGACGTGCATGTCCCTGGGCAGATGGTGGCATGCCAGCTCGACGATGATGCACTCTCGTAGCAGTACAAGTCACCGCTCGCTTGCTCGCCGCTGTGGATACCCCAGCAGTACGGGTGACTCACTGCACACGCACAGCCAGTTGGCGGTGAGGGCGGTGGCGGCGACGTCGGCGGCGAGGGTGGCGGCGGATGCGACGGTGCCGAGCTGCCCAAGTCCTCGAGGATGAAGAGGCCGCGGTTCTGGTCGGACACGACGACGAGGCCGCTCGCGGGGAAGACGTAGGTCCCCCACGCGCCGTTCCAGTTCTTCGTGCCGTCGCCGTCGGGGTACGTGTCAAAGTAGCCCATCTCCGAGCGCGAGCTTAGGTCGAAGACGCGCATGCCCGAGGCATAGTTGGCGACGTACAACCGGCCGTTGCGGCAGATGTGGTTGTGCGAGATGGCGCCGACGCCGTTGGTGAACGAAGTGAGGAATGAGGGACTGCTCAGGTCGGAGACGTTGAACTCGAAGATCGTGGTGGGCGCCCCTGAGCTGTATGAGAATAATTCGTCGCCCACGTACGCGCGCATCGTGCCGATGTCAACCCACACGTTGTGCGAGTACACAGCGCCGGGCCAAGTGCCGTTGCCGAGCAGGGCGATCGCGCTCTTGTCGGTCACATCCCAGATCTGCAGCCGCGCCCCCCATCCCCATCCCAGAGCTCTAGCCGCGAAGAAGATCTGCTTGCCGGCGTACGGCCCCGACGCGAACGTGGTCACCTGTCCGTCGTGAACGTAGCCTTCCCCAAACTTGCCAATGTATTGCGGCGCGGCGGGGTTGGCGTTCAGGTCGTACATGCGCACGTTCTTGTTGTCATTCCAGCCGCCGACGCGGTACAGGTAGCCGCTAACCTCGTCAACCACCACGTTGTGGCTCGATTCGGGCCCGCCGCCGTTGTCAATGGCCGCGGGGCCGACGGAGATGGACGGTGGGTCGGAGTCCAGGCCCGAGAGGTCGAAGACGACGATGCCCGGCTGGTCCAACGCCTCGGTGACATAGTACGCGTGATGGCCGAAGACCTTGACGTCCTTCCACGAGCTGCTCGGCGACGTGAAGCTCGGAGCGGTGACCACGGCGGCCGTCTGCACGTCGACGGCGCTCAAGCCCGTCATGTAGCACATGAGCGCCCACTCCTTGCCGGTGGCCGCCGACGTGTAGCCCCAGATGTCGCTGCCGTACACGCCGCTGCAACACGTGCTGATGGGCACGTGGTGCTTGAGCGCGACGTTGAGCGAGTCGAAGTTGGCCGCCGGCTCGGCCGGGCCGGACTTCGGCGGCGTGGACGGGCGCATGTGGGTCTCGCCGGCGGGCGACGTCATCGCCATCCGGGCCATGTTCTGAAGATGTCGCCTCTGATTAGCGGAGGGCGCTGTGAGCGCCGTCGCGTCGGGGAGTAAGAACGGGGAGAGAACAAGGGCTGAGCCCAGGCCGCTGAGGCCGAGCATGTGAAAGCCGGGCGCGATACGATGGGCACCCGGGGGGGGGGGAGGGAGCCGGTATCGACGAAAGGGACCGCTATAGCAGGAGACGGTGGTGAACGACTCGTGCGCGCTTTTCTGACGTTTGAGCCGCCATCGAAAAAAAGTCTTACTAGTATCCTAACGGTGTGGGGGCGCGGAGGGCTTGTTGGCGAGCCAAAATGGTGTTTTCCGAGGCGCTGCGCTAGGCTCAGAGCGAGTTCGCGCTGCGCTAGGCTCAGACGGCGAGTTCGCGCTGCGCTAGGCCCAGACGGCGAGTTCGCGCGGCTAGGCTCACAGATGCGAGTGCGCTGCGATAGAAGAAAAAAACAGGGTCGAAACGACAACCGAAGGGAGGACTGTGTAGTGTAATCAGGAGGGCGCAGGCGAGGAAGGCGCAGACGAGGCGGCCCTCCGGAAGAAAGCCAAGGCGGAGCGGCGCAAGGAGCAGCGGCACGCCGCGGCCGCGGCGGCAGGCCGTGTGCCCGGCCAACATGGGGAGGGAGGCGCGGCAGGAGGTCCCTCCTCCTTAGGCTGTACGAGGTTTTCCTCTCGCACCCCGTCTGTTTTCCTTTCCTTTTTTCTCTACAGCACCCTCTCTTTTCCTCTCTATTTTCCCGAGAAAACTCCGTGGAAATCGTCAAATTTTTGGCTCTGAGCCGAGTCTGAGGCTGGTTTGGGCCCAAAATCAGCCAAATTTTAGGCCAAATCGTCAAAATGCCGGGAATTTTGCGGAGAACCCGTGTAGACCTGGAAATTACCCTGCGACCGCCTGGGTATTTTGTCGATTCCTCAATTTTGCCTCAGATTTTGCCCCAGACCAGCTCTCAGACTCAGGGAAACTCGCGAGTTTCCAGAATGGAGCACCAAACACCCTCTGTTTTCCCTGGAAATTTCCGGCAACGCAAAGTGCTGGGGACCCTCTGTTTTCCTTTTTGTTTTCCGGAAAACCTCGTACAGGCCAACCTCCTCCTCGCGCATGGCTGCGGAGTGAGTCCCGAAGGTCTCAAGGTGTGCGCGTGAGAGGTGTGCAGTGGTGCACCGGAGGTGAGGACGGGAGGGAGGGCTGCGAGCCACTCTTGTGTGTGTGCGGCGCCACGCCTCACGAGGGCTCCGTTTTTATTCATTTATTTACCACGCGCACGCCGTCCCCCTCACTCACAGAGTGTCACACACCACACGGCCCTGCGAGCTGCGTGGCCGCGGGAAGGGTGTTGGTTGAGACGCGGGGCGACTGCGGACTGGGTGGGCGGGGCGAGGGCGGAGGGGCGGAGCAGCGACGCGCGCGCGACGGAGGGGCGGAGCAGCGACCGCTGGCGCGGTCGCTGCTCCATCTGTGCCAGAGACACGCGCTCTGCCCCTCCACAGAGCGCGCGTGAGGCAAGGTGGGGGCAAGCGTGGCGGCGCGGGGACGCGCGGCGGCGGCGGCGAGCAGCCGAGCGCTCCGTGCGCGGTGAGGCGGCCGGGCGAGGGCGCGGCGGGCGACGGGGCAAGGGAGCAGCCGGGCGAGGAGAGGTAGGAGGTGCTCGCCGGCGAGCGCTCCCGCGCCTGCGAAGGGGCAAGGCCTGAGGGCGGGCGGGCGGGCGGGCGGGCGGGCGCGGGTGGGGGGGATAAACGCTGCGCCGCCAAAGGAACCAGCGACACTGGCCGCGGCTCGTCGCCACGCGCCGGCTCGGAAGAGGGGCTGTCGGCGGCGAAGCAGAGTGGCACGCCTCGCCGCTCGAGCCGCCGACAGCCCCCCTCCTCGACGTGACGGCCGCTCCCGGAGCCGGCCGGTGCGCGCCCGACCCACGCCCCCTCTCGCACCCTTCCGACCCCCCCTGCGCGGCGCACCCGTCCGCTGTGCGCCGGCTCGAGCGCATATTGCCAAATCGCGACGTTTGAGCGCAGCGCACGCATCCTCTGGGCGCCTGAGCGCGGCGGAATCTTGCCAGAATGTGGCCGCAGGAAGAGCCTCCGGCGGGCCTCCGGCGGACGCCTGGCGGCGTGGCGCTGCGCGCCGGCCTGCGGCCCAAAGCCCGAACGAGCGTCAAGTTAACTTGACCCGCCGAATCCCTTGGTTGGCCCTCGCAGCTGTGATACAAAAGTGGGGACACGCCTGGCGGCGCGCCCCCCAAAAGAATTTTACCTCCGCGCTCGCAGAACACGATTAAAAAAGATTCCGCGCTCCGACTCATCTCTTTCCCACCTGCGGTGGGCGCGGCGGCGGCGGCGGCGGCGGCGGCGGCGGCTCACAAACTTTGGGGATTCGTCTCATTTTGGTCTCACCCAGGACAAGTCAGTCTCACAATCATCTCACGAGTTACAGTGAGACGGTGTTGAGACCTTTTGGCTGCAAAAACTGAGACGACCGCTGGCTCAGGAGTGGTCTCAGTTTTGGTCTCGGGCTCGTCTCATTCCTCGTGCCACCCTGGCCGACTCCCGTGTGGTCGAGCGAGCGGTGCTCCGGCGCGATGTCCGGCCACGGCGCATCGGACAAGCCGGGCAGCTGGTTGGGCTTGCTTCCCCAGCCTCACGAGAGTAGAAAAGAAAGGGGCGGCCCGCCGAGAATTCTCCGAGACACGTCTATGAAGTCTTCAGACTGCCACGCACGGAAACTTCCTTTATGATTGAATGATTTCACTAAAAGGTACTACAGGCCCATATCTCAGGGGCCGAGATGCAGGCAATGTGAGAGTGGTGTTCACGTGTGGCTGTGTACAAATAAATAAATAGAGCAGACAACCCCTGGATGCCTGGTGGCTGTGTACGACGGGGGAGCGTTGAAGCGTGTAAAAAATTTTCGTGTTAGTGCCAGTGCGCGCCAGTCCCGTGCCCAGTGTTGTGCGAGGGTGTTTGTTTGTAAAATTCTTTTTGTCCGCGGGAGTCGCTTAGACGGCTCCAGTGGTGTACCTGTGTTAGTGCCAGTGCGCGCCAGTCCCGTGCCCAGGTCGCCCCGAGCCAGGTCGGCGAGGCGGGTTGTGAGGATGGCGCCGCTCATGCGGTCAAAAACACAACCCCGGACATGCCGCCAGAAAGAAAAAACAATGCGCGGAACGGCATCGCAGGTCCTCAAGACTTGGCCAGCGTAAAATTCTTTTTGTCCTTTCCGGGTAAAGTCGCAGGCTCGCGGTGCCGAAGGGGTCGCGGCCTCGCTCATGTTCGCCGTGCTTGCGTCGACCGCCTGGACTCCTTCCAGCTCAATCGCACCGCCCCTCGCGTCCCGCGAATCGCGCGCCGGGAGCCCGAGCTTGCAGGAGCGCATCTATCCGAACCTCGGCGGCGAGCGTGTGACCAAGAAGAAGCCGCGAAGAGACGCGCTCACAGAGCTGCTGGGCAAGCTGCCGGGGCGAAGCTCCGGGCCGGAGCCGGAGCCGGAGCCGGAGCCGGAGGCGCCCGACCGGCGAGCCCTCATCGTCGGCGGCCTCGGCGCCGCCGCGTGGCTGCCGCGGCTGCTGCCGCTCGCGTTTGCTCCGCCGGCAGAGGAGAGCGACCAGGCCAAGCAGCAGCGGTACCTGGAGGAGGAGAGGGTACGGCTGGAGGAGGCGGCCCTCGCGACCAGCCCGGGCGCCGCCGGCGCGCGCGAGCGGGGCGGCCAGTTTGGCGGCACGCTCTTTGAGGAGGGCGACGCCGTGACGTCGCCGGCGGTCGAGGTGGCGTTGCTCGGCCTCGTCTCCGACACGGGGGGGGCGGAGCGGCTGAGCCCGAAGCAGCGGGCGAGGGCGGCGGCGTACGTCCAGCAGCTCGAGTCGCGCGGCGGCTCGCAGTACTTCGCCGCCTCTGGGCCGGGAAAGTGGGTGATCCCGTGGGTGGGCGGTGGGCAAAGCTAGATGGGGATAGCGCGGCTTCACGGCACTCGCATTGGGCCCGGTGAATCACCGCATTCACTGCGGAGCTATTCACTGTCACGATTCACTGCAGTGAATCGTTCACTGTCACGATTCACTGCAGAGCTAGCTCTGCAGAGCTAGTCACTGTCACGATTCACTGCAGAGCTAGTCACTGTCACGATTCACTGCAGAGCTAGTCACTGTCACGATTCACTGCAGAGCTAGTCACTGTCACGATTCACTGCAGAGCTAGTCACTGTCACGATTCACTGCAGAGCTAGTCACTGTCACGATTCACTGCAGAGCTAGTCACTGTCACGATTCACTGCAGAGCTAGTCACTGTCACGAGTCACTGCAGAGCTAGTCACTGTCACGATTCACTGCAGAGCTAGTCACTGTCACGATTCACTGCAGAGCTAGTCACTGTCACGATTCACTGCAGAGCTAGTCACTGTCACGATTCACTGCAGAGCTAGTCACTGTCACGATTCACTGCAGAGCTAGTCACTGTCACGATTCACTGCAGAGCTAGTCACTGTCACGATTCACTGCAGAGCTAGTCACTGTCACGATTCACTGCACTCACTGCACGAGTCACTGCATTTGCATTCACCGCAGTCATGCCAGGGTCGGAATTCGCCGCATCACGCACTGCAGTCGACGCCCCCGCCCGCCCCCTGCATTCCCCCATCCAGGCTGGCAAAAGCTGTGGTCGTCGTCGGACGACGCGGCGCTGATGGGCGGTCCGTCGGCCAAGGAGATCGGCCTGTCGCCCGACCTGCGCAGCCGGCTCTCGCCCGGCGGCGCCTCCTTCCAGCTGGCGTCGACGCGCTACTATGTGTACGGTCCGGGGGACGACGGCGTGTTTGTCGAGTACCTGTACCGCGCGCCGGGCGCGGTCGACGACCTGCTTCTCACGCGCGCGGGCCGAGTCCGCAACGACGGCGGCAACCGGTTCGGCTTCGAGTTTGGGCTGCCCCTCCGGCCGTACGAGGCGCGGGTCAATGCCGACACGACGAGCGGTGACGACATCTTCGCGGCGCTGGTTAGCGGGCGACCGCTGGAGGGGCTGCCTGCGTCTGCGGCGGGTCTGCCGGGCGGATCAAAGGTGGAGCTTCTCTCTCTCTCTCTCTCTCTCTCTCTCTCTCTCTCTCTCTCTCTCTCTCTCTCTCTCTCTCTCTCTCTCCCTCCCTCCCTCCCTCCCTCTCCCTTTCTTTCTCTCTCTCCCTCTCCCTCTCCCTCTCCTTCTCTCGCTCTCTCGCTCTCCCTCTCGCTCTCCCTCTCCCTCTCCCTCTCCCTCTAGCTCTGTCTCCATCTCTGCCTCTCCACCGCTCAAAGGTGGAGCTGCAGACCACGTACCTGAGCGAGCGCGTCTGGATCATCCGCGACGCGAACGGGCAGACGGCCGCGTTTGAGCGCACAGAGACGCGATCCGTGGCCGACCGGCGCGGCCTCGTCGCCGACGGGCAGCTGAAGCCGCCAGACGACGACTCGATCCGCTTCGGCCGGCTGCTGTTCGGGGAGACCCTCTCCGACTACAACGGGTGGGAGTCGGACCAGAAGAAGGACTCGGAGCTCAAGGACAAGCTCTTCAAGTGACGAGGCTTGCCGGCCCCTCGTCGTCGCCGCGCCGCATCCTGGGCCCGGCGGGTGACTTGCCGTGGGCGCCCCACAAGGACTCTGAACGACGGCGCACGAACAAATAAACAGCCGTGCCTGCTTGTGTTGCGTATATTGGACCCCATTCGCTCGAACGACGCGCACTATAGAGTCTAGAGGTGCGGCTAGTTCCATTTCACTGTGGCACAGCTCGCGTTACAAAACCTTGATTTGACCACATTTGCGCAAAAAGGTACATCTCGGTGCCTTCCAGAGGCAGCTGCGAGGCCGTCCACTCGCCTGAGAAAAGAAGCGCGCAGCGCTGGGCTAAGAAAATGCGCGCGTGCATGGCGC